GTAGAAACATTAGATTGGCAACAGACCTATCCACAGAGACCTGGCAGGCCAGAAAGGACTGGCAAGATATCTTCAGAGCACTAAACGAGAAAAATATGCAGCCAAGAATACTATATCCAGCTAGGCTGTCATTGAAAATAGAAGGAGAGATAAAAAGCTTCCAGAACAAACAAAAACTAAAGGAATTTGCAAACACGAAACCAGCCCTCCAAGAAATATTGAAAGGGGTCCTCTAAGCAAAGAGAGAGCCTAAAAGCAGCAAAGATCAGAAAGGAACACAGACAACATACAGTAACAGTCACCTTACAGGCAATACAATGGCACTAAATTCATACCTTTCAATAGTTACCCTGAATGTAAATGGGCTAAATGCCCCAATCAAAAGACACAGGCTATCAGATTGGATTAAAAAACAAGACCCATCAATATGCTGTCTGCAAGAGACTCATTTTAGACGCAAAGACACCCCCAGATTGAAAGTGAGGGGGTGGAAAACCATTTACCATGCTAATGGACACCAAAAGAAAGCTGGGGTGGCAATCCTTATATCAGACAAACTAGATTTTAAAACAAAGACTGTAATAAGAGATGAGGAAGGACACTATGTCCTACTTAAAGGGTCTATCCAACAAGAAGATCTAACAAATGTAAATATCTATGCCCCGAACACGGGAGCAGCCAATTATATAAGGCAATTAATAACAAAAGCAAAGAAACACATTGACAACAATACAATAATAGTGGGGGACTTTCACACTCCCCTGACTGAAATGGACAGATCATCTAAGCAAAAGATCAACAAGGAAATAAAGACTTTAAATGACACCCTGGACCAAATGGACTTCACAGACATATTCAGAACATTCCATCCCAAAGCAACGGAATACACATTCTTCTCTAGTGCCCATGGAACATTCTCCAGAATTGATCACATCCTAGGTCACAAATCAGGTCTCAACCGGTACCAAAAGATTGGGATCATTCCCTGCATGTTTTCAGACCACAATGCTTTGAAACTAGAACTCAATCACAAGAGGAAAGTCGGAAAGAACTCAAATACATGGAGGCTAAAGAGCATCCTCCTAAAGAATGAATGGGTCAACCAGGAAATTAAAGAAGAATTAAAAAAATTCATGGAAACCAATGAAAATGAAAACACAACTGTCCAAAATCTTTGGGATACGGCAAAGGCAGTCCTGAGAGGAAAGTATATAGCAATACAAGTCTTTCTCAAGAAGCAAGAAAGGTCTCAAATACACAATCTAACCCTACACCTAAAGGAGCTGGAGAAAGAACAGCAAATAAAGCCTAAACCCAGCAGGAGAAGAGAAATCATAAAGATCAGAGCAGAAATCAATGAACTAGAAACCAAAAGAACAGTAGAACAGATCAACGAAACTAGGAGCTGGTTCTTTGAAAGAATTAACAAGATTGATAAACCCCTGGCCAGACTGATCAAAAGAAAAGAGAAATGACCCAAATCAAAAAATCATGAATGAAAGAGGAGAGATCACAACTAACACCAAAGAAATACAAACAATTATAAGAACATATTATGAGCAACTCTATGCCAGCAAATTAGATAACCTGGAAGAAATGGGTGCATTCCTAGAGATGTATCAACTACCAAAACTGAACCAAGAAGAAATAGAAAACCTGAACAGACCTATAACCACTAAGGAAATTGAAGCAGTCATCAAAAATCTCCCAAGAAACAAAAGCCCAGGGCCAGATGGCTTCCCAGGGGAATTCTATCAGACATTTAAAGAAGAATTAATACCTATCCTCCTGAAACTGTTCCAAAAAATAGAAATGGAAGGAAAACTTCCAAATTCATTTTATGAGGCCACCATTACCTTGATCCCAAAACCAGACAAAGACCCCATCAAAAAGGAGAATTACAGACCAATATCCTTGACGAACATGGATGCAAAAATTCTCACCAAAATACTAGCCAATAGGATCCAACAGTACATTAAAAGGATTATTCACCACGACCAAGTGGGATTTATCCCTGGGCTGCAAGGCTGGTTCAACATCCGCAAATCAATCAACGTGATACAATACATTAACAAAAGAAAGAACAAGAATCATATGATCTTCTCAATAGATGCAGAAAAAGCATTTGACAAAGTACAACATCCTTTCTTGATCAAAACTCTTCAGAGTATAGGGATAGAGGGTACATACCTCAATATCATAAAAGCCACCTACGAAAAACCTACAGCAAATATCATTCTCAATGGGGAAAGGCTGAGAGCTTTTCCCCTAAGGTCAGGAACGCAGCAGGGATGTCCACTCTCACCACTGCTATTCAACATAGTATTAGAAGTCCTAGCCACAGCAGTCAGACAACAAAAAGAAATCAAAGGCATCTAAATCGGCAGAGGAAGTCAAACTCTCACTCTTTGCAGATGATATGACACTGTATGTGGAAAACCCAAAAGACTCCACCCCAAAACTGCTAGAAATCATACAGGAATTCAGTCAAGTAGCAGGCTATAAAATCAATGCACAGAAATCAGTGGCATTCCTATACACCAACAACAAGACAGAAGAGAGACAAATCAAGGAGTCGATCCCATTCACAATTGCACCCAAAACCATAAGATACCTAGGAATAAATTTAACCAAAGAGGCAAAGGATCTGTACTCAGAAAACTATAAAATACTCAGGAAAAAAATTGAAGAAGACACAAAGAAATGGAAAAACGTTCCATGCTCATGGATTGGGAGAACCAACATTGTGAAGATGTCAATGCTACCTAGAGCAATCTACACATTCAATGCAATCCCCATCAAAATACCAACCACTTTTTTCAAAGAAATGGAACAAATAATCCTAAAATTTGTATGGAACCAGAAGCGACCCCGAATAGACAGAGGAATATTGAAAAAGAAAAGCAAAGCTGGCGGCATCACAATTTCGGACTTCCAGCTCTATTACAAAGCTGTCATCATCAAGACAGTATGGTGCTGGCACAAAAACAGACACATAGATCAATGGAACAGAATCGAGAGCCCAGAAATGGACCCTCAACTCTATGGTCAACTTATCTTTGACAAAGCAGGAAAGAATGTCCAATGGCAAAAAGACAGTCTCTTCAACAAATGGTGTTGGGAAAATTGGACAGCCACATGCAGAAGAATGAAACTGGACCATTTCCTTACACCACACACAAAAATAGACTCCAAATGGTTGAAAGACCTATACGTGAGACAGGAGCCCATCAAAATCCTAAAGGAGAACACAGGTAGCAACCTCTTCGACCTCACCCGCAGCAACTTCTTCCTAGAAACATCACCAAAGGCACGGGAAGCCAGGGCAAAAATGAACTATTGGGATTTCATCAAGATAAAAAGCTTTTGCACAGCAAAAGAAACAGTCCACAAAACCAAAAGACAACCGACAGAATGGGAGAAAATATTTGCAAATGACATATCAGATAAAGGGCTAGTATCCAAAATCTATAAAGAACTTATCAAACTCAACACCCAAAGAGCAAATAATCCAATCAAGGAATGGGCAGAAAACATGAACAGACATTTCTCCAAAGAAGACATCCAAATGGCCAACAGACACATGAAAAAGTGCTCAACATCGCTCGGCATCAGGGAAATCCAAATCAAAACCTCAATGAGATACCACCTCACACCCGTCAGAATGGCTAAAATTAACAAGTCAGGGAACGACAGATGTTGGCGGGCATGTGGAGAAAGGGGAACCCTCCTACACTGTTGGTGGGAATTCAAGCTGGTGCAACCCCTCTGGAAAACAGTATGGAGGTTCCTCAAACAGTTGAAATTAGAGCTACCATTCGATCAAGCAATTGCACTACTGGGTATTTACCCCAAAGATACAAATGTAGGGACCCGAAGGGGTACGTGCACCCCAATGTTTATAGCAGCAATGTCCACAATAGCCAAACTGTGGAAAGAGCCAAGATGTCCATTGACAGATGAATGGATAAAGAAGATGTGGTATATATCCACAATGGAATATTATGCAGCCATCAAAACGAATGAGATCTTGCCATTTGCAACGACGTGGATGGAACTGGAGGGTGTTATGCTTAGTGAAATATGTCAATCAGAGAAAGACATGTATCATATGACCTCACTGATATGAGGAATTCTTCATCTCAGGAACAAACTGAGGGTTGCTGGAGTGGTCGGGGGTGGGAGGGATGGGGTGGCTGGGTCATAGACATTGGGGAGGGTATGTGCTACGGTGAGCGCTGTGAATTGTGCAAGACTGTTGAATCACAGATCTGTACTTCTGAAACAAATAATGCAACATATTTTAAGAAAAAAGAAAAAGAAGAAGATAGCAGGAGAGGAAGAATGAAGGGGAGTAAGTCAGAGGGGGAGACGAACCAGGAGAGATGATGGACTCTGAAAAACAAACTGAGGTTTCTAGAGGGGAGGAGGATAGGGGGATGGGTTAGCCTGGTGATGGGTATTAAAGAGGGCACATTCTGCATGGAGCACTGGGTGTTATAAACAAACAATGAATCATGGAACACTACACCAAAACAAATGATGTAATATATGGTGATTAACATAACAATAAAAAATAAAAATAAATAAAAAAAATAATAGAGCTAATACTGCCCAGTGTCTAACACAGTGCTTGACACAGACTAGGTCCTCAGTAAATGGTAATTACTACAGAAAGGCTTGAGGGCTGGCCCTGCCTTCTTCAGTTCTGCTCCAGTACCTTGCAAAGGGCTGGACACAGGCACAGACACACTGCAGCGAGGGAAGAAGAGCCATAACCCTTGGCTCTGGGACATGCCACTATGAAAAGTCTCTCCTGCAGGCTGTGCTGGGGCGGAGGGGCTGGAGAGGGGCATCATGGTTCTGTATCCAGAGGGCCCAAGGGTAACAAGCTATAGCACAAGACAGAGTCAGGGGAGAGCTCAGGAAATGCAAACAGCTGCAGAGGAAGAGGGGATAGCAGGCCACGACTGATGACACATGGCATGTGAACAGCTTACTTGGATTCCATCTTTATGTGCTATCCCCTTGTGCATCTTCCTTTCAACCTGGACCTGCTTCTTCAACCTCCTTCTTTGCATCTTCTCCAGCCACAGGTCATCTAAACTGATGCGTGGGTGACGACGAATGATGCTCCTGGGTTGTGAAGGAGTCTCCCTGGGGACATCCTCTGCAGAGACGGAGGGGAGGGTCCATGCCACCCTCTCAGTGGTAGAGAATGGCTCTATGTGAAAAGCTTTCTGACTGTGGGAGCAACTGGGCTTCATGCCTTGTTCTTCCCACCGCATGTGGTTCTGGAGAGCAGAGAGGAGAACATATCAACTGGGCACAGTGTCCTTTTTCTGCTCAGATTTTTGGGTATTACCCCATCTTTTGGTTAATCCCCAAAATACAGATGCCAGTGAAATACTCTGTTCACAGTAATTTTGGAAAATGTGAAGATCAGGAATAAGACAAATCTTGTTTCTGTTAAAATCTACACTTCCAAGACTATTTCAAAAAATCAAGTCTTCTACCTTGATCAAAGAAAGTCTTGAAAGTAATCACTGAACTTGGCATGCTCATTAGAAACTTTTTAAAGGTCAATAGCTGGGGCAAAAGCTTTTGCTTAAACAATATCCCCTGAGAACAGAATTTGAACACAAACACACTCAGGCACTTCTTACTTCTTTCTTGGCACAGACATTAACTCAATGTACACACAGCTGCACCTTACCTGTGCTACCCTCATTTTGTCTCAGTTTAGTTATCCACTCAGACACTGTAACTGCATTCAAAATAAAATTTGTCCCTCCTAACAGAATACTTCAGATTTGTGTTGACATGGCCATCCTTTCTGTTCTAATCAACCCACAGGCAGGGAAATGAAGCTCTTTTGTTCACAGGTGTTCTTCAAGTCCCATGACCCCCGCCCCCACCCCACCCTGGAGGACACCTCTTTCACAACACTTCTTTGGAATGTCATCCCCAATACTTTGTGTATAAATAATATAAAATAATGGTGGAAACAAAGGTGAAATTTCTTTTAACTATTTTAAGAGTCTGCCTTAAATAATGTATACATACACGTATGTATATATATGTATGTATGCACACACTTCCATGGGAAGAGAGAAGAACGTAGAAGAGGAGCATGGGGGAGCATTATTGTTTCTTATGGTTTTGGGGTACAGCCTGGGAACTCGGACTTTTCAAAGTTCTCCAGGTGATTCTAATATGCACCCAAGGTTTAAAAATCACTGTTCATTTTGGTTTTTTAGCTCCCAAATATTGCTCTAAGTTTAAAAAGTGTTTTCATTTAGTTTTCTCTCCCCAACTCCACCATGGGTTAGAAACAGCTGGTGTATTATCCTACAGATAGAGTCTTGGAAAGCTTCAGCGATTGCCTGAGTTCACACAGCTCTGTGTGTCTTCATATTGTGATTCTAAACCCCATGTCCATTCCCTATTCTACATTGTATAAATTCCTGTTGTTTCATAGGTAGATAGAATGACTCCATAAAAAGCAAGGACAATACCTCAGACTCTTTTATAATTCTCAAAGTCCCCCCAAAAGGAATGGATGTTAATTAAGTACATCTGTATGCAAGGCTCCCTTTTATGCACTTCACACTTACTTTTATGCACTACTTACATTAGATAAAGAAGGTGGATCCTCCTAATGCCATTCAGCAAGTAAACGACATTAAGCCTTCTGGAAGGAAGCTAGCAACCTGACACTGGCGCTTCCACAAGAATGCAACTTACTGCCACTAAAGATGAGGTCACTTATTTTCAAGTTAGAAGGCAACTTGGACTTTTGCATCACACCACTCCCTAGCCTTCTATCAGCCTGTACCTGAGTTGTTGGCTGGGGTCTCTTCATGCCACCATGACAGCTTTATCCTCAACTTTTCTCTCATCGTAACTTTAGAACATTAGCACTTTTATATCTTGGTTCTGGGCCATTGGAGAGAATGCTGGCTGGAGACTGAGTGTCTAAGTGCAAAGTTTACCTTGATTTTTTCTGTATGCTCAATAGAAAAGAGTTAACTCCCCTCCCACCCCTTTTCCTACCTTGGGAGCCTGCTAGAGTCATATATCCATTTACTTACCAAAGAGCTTTGCTCTCAGGAAAAATGGTCTTATTCTGAGGCCATTAATTAGAGTAGCAAACTCTTCTTGTGAGTGGGCTAGACTTAGTGACTCACTTCTAATGAACAGAATATGGGAGAAGGGATGGGATGCCACTTCTGAGATTATGTTATAGAAAGGCTGTGGCTTCATTTTGGGGGGCCTCTCATGGATCCCCTTGCTCTGCAGGAAGCCAAATGACATACTGTGAAGAGTGTTATGGAGAGGCTGATGTGGCAGGAAACCGATGTCTCCAGCCAACAGACAGCAGGGATCTGTGACCTGTCACAGAGCAAGCGTGGAAGCAAGACATCCTGCAGTCCAGCCTTGGATGTGAGTGCTGCCATTGCCAAAACACTGACTACAGCCTTGTGAAAGACTCTGAGCCAAAGGCACCCAGCTAAGTCAGGCTGGTCATGCAGCAATGGATAACTCATACTCTTGGGAACCTGCTAGAAGTACACATTTTCAAGCCCGATCAAGACTTTTCTGAATTAGAAGTTCTAGGGGTGGGGCCAGCAATCTGTTTATAATGCCCTCTAGGGATTATGTTGCAAGGGTAGTTTAAGAATTGCTGTACTAGAGAGACGGGCAAGTAAGAGAGAGGCAAGGCAGATCAGGCTGTTGTGTGCTCCTCATGCATCCTAGGGTGGAGGGTCAGGGAGCAGACTGTGGGGTTAGATAAGCTGAGTTTGAATCCTGGCTGTGGCTCTTAACAGCAGTGTGGCTTTGGGCAACTTTCCTTAACTTCCTCTCTATTTCTCTACCTTAAAATGGCAATATTAATACCTCTCAGAAAAGTTATCAGAATTAAATGAGAGAATATACATATAGCACTTAGCATAATGCCTGTCACATATATATTGCATCAATATATGGTAGCCAACACTGCTGTTTTTATTAATAAGTAGACAAGGCTGAGAGGGCTGTGGTGGTAATACAGTCTTATCTCTCTGGAATGATGTGTTTTCAGGTCCTACTTCAGCACTTCACTATAAACATGCTACTCAGCATTAAACTCATTCTCTGATTTTTCATTTTTATTTTGAAGAATCTTAAAATTTTTATTTGGGGAAATTTCTAGTATAAATCTGTAATTCTCTTTGTAGTATTGGATACAGATAACCCAAGAGTATGAATTATCCATTGCTGCATGACCAGCCTGACAGTACAGATTAGGTTTATTCAGTTTGCATCCTTGTAAAGTAAACTTGTTATCCACAAATGAACAAGATGCTCTCCAAATATCTCTCTATTTAATATCAGACATTTCATCAGCCAGCACAAGCAAGGCAGAAAGCAGTAAGATAGAAAAGACAACTTCCTTGTAAGGAAAAAGCAATTTAAATGACATCATCAGAAACCATGGAGGCCAGAAAGAAGAGGTACAACATTTTTCAAGTGTCGTTTTTAAAGAAAACAATTGTTAATGAAGAATCCTATATGCAGTGAAAATATTCTTCAGGAATAAAGGAAAAATCAAGACATTCTCAGAGAAAGGAAAACGGAATTTTTACCATCAGATGTACCCTTAAAAATAGTTAAAATATGCAACAATCAGACAAGAAGAAATAAAAGCATTCATATTAGTAAGGAAGAAGTAAAACTGTCACAATTTGCAGACAAAATGATATTATATATAGATAACCATAAAAAATCCATCAAAAAACTATTAGAACTAATAAATAAATTCAATAAAGTCACAGGACACGGAATTAATTAGCAGAACTCTGTTGCATCTCTATACAAATAATGAATTAGCAGAAAGAGAAATAAGAGAATATTTCCATTTATAATTACATCAAAAAGAATAAGATAACCTACTAATAAATTTAACCAAGGAGGTGAAAGACCTGTATGCTGAAAGCTAGAAGACAATGATGAAAGACATTGAAGATGACACAAATAGGTAGAAAGATATCCCATGTTTATGGATAATAAGAATTAATCTTATTAAAATATCCATACTATCCAAATCAATCTACAGATTCAATGTAATCTGTCAGAATACTAGTATCATTTTTCATATAACTACAACAAATAATCCTAAAATTTGTATGGAACCACAAAAGACCCCAAATAAGCCAAAGCAATATTGAGAAAGAAGAACAAAGCTGGAGATTTCAAGATATACTACAAAGCTATAGTAATCAAAACAATATGGTACGGGCACAAAAACAGATGGATAGACCAATGGAACAGAATAGGAAGCCCAGAAATAAACCCACACTTACATGGTCAATTAGTCTATGACACAGGAGGCAAGAATATACAATGGGGATAAGTCAGTCTCTTCAATAAATGGTGTTGGGAAAACTGGACAGCTACATGCAAAAGAATGAGATTGAACCAGTTTCTTATACCATACACATAAATAAACTCAAAATGGTTTAAAGGCCTAAATGTCAGACCTGAAACCATAAAACTCATAAAACAAAACATGGGCAGCAAATTCTTGGATATTGGCCTTAGTAATATTTTTCTGAATCTTTTTCCTCAGGCAAGGGCAGCAAAAGCAAAAATAAACAATTGGGACTACACCAAACTAAAGAGTTTTTGCACAGCAAAGGAAACAACAAAAAGGCAACCCACTGAATGGGAGAAGACATCTGCAAATGATAGATCTGATAAGGGGTTAATAGCCAAAATACATAAAGAACTCACGCAATTCAACACACACACAAAACAAATAATCCAATTTAAAAATGGGCAGAGGGGTGCCTGAGTGGCTCAGTTGGTTAAGCGACTGCCTTCGGCTCAGGTCATGATCCTGGAGTCCCGGGATCGAGTCCCGCATCGGGCTTCCTGCTCAGCAGGGAGTCTGCTTCTCCCTCTGACCTTCTTCCCTCTCATGCTCTCTCTCTACCATTCTCTCTCTCAATAAATAAATAAAAATCTTTTAAAAAAATAAATAAATAAATAAAAATGGGCAGAGGACCTGAATAGACATTTTTTTCTAAAGAAGATATCCAGTTGGCCAACAGACATATGAAATGATGCTCAACATCATTAATCATCAGGGACATGCAAATCAAAGCCACAATGAGATACCACCTCACACATATCAGAATGGCTATTACCAAAAAGACAAAAAATTAGTGTTGGTAAAAATGTGGGGAAAAGGGAACCCTGATGCACTGTTGGTGGGAAGGTAAATTGGTGCAGCCAGTATGGA